CGATAAACCCGTCTCTTGATATATCGGCTGGTTGTGTTTGCCGATTCAAGACACGTTGAATTTATGTGTTCACGACTCGATCTCTCACGCACATCAATGCGCCCTTCTCGTGGAGCAACAACTCGCGCGACGGGCCACTACCGCCTTTCTCCAGCAGCGCACGCAGGGTCGCCTGCAACGGTGGGCCCAACATTGGCGTGTTCATTGGTGTCCAGTTCAGGCGCTCTCCAATGGCTGCAGGACTTTTAGAAGGTGCTAGGTCTGGTGGCGGGCTGAGATAATTTTCATCTGGCGAGCTCGAGTCAGTTGGGCGATTCCGCTGCTCAGCAACGAGAACGACGTCCAGGAATACGATGGCCTGCCTATGTTCGACGAGGAGCCATCTCTGGGGGGAGGTGCATGTGCACGGCAACGTCGGTCCGACGCTTCTTCTTCGTCGATCATGTTTGGCATTCACGCTTCTTGTGTCTATTCGAGAGGATTCTCTGCCAGCTATTGATCCTTTCCAAGATATATCTAGCGTTGTAGAACATGTTTCCAAATCTAACCTTGACCTTGACGAACCTAGAGACAGCTGCAATGATTGCAAATCTAGAGAGCCTTGCACCCTTTTCTCTATTGCTCCAGGCTTGGACTCATCAACTGATCTAGCACATTTCAACACTATGTTTAAGTATGATGGTGTGAGCTGTGCTATGTCCGGGGTGTTGCATTTGACGACAACAACTAATGAAGATAGTCCGCCCAAGTCCGAAAATGTTACATCATTAGGTGATCTTATGGATGCGGTCACTGCGGACAAGCGACTTCCGAATGCGCGTCGTCGCGATGAAGATTTCGAGGTAGACAGTTACGTGCGGGCCATATTGCCGCTGAATGGATTTACTGCACATGCGCATACCAAGTTGTCGACCTGTAAAATCAATCCGGTTGAGATTGTGGAGGATCAATCCCAATGCTTCTCGTTTCCGTGATCAATCCCTATTGTCTTCGTCTGCCTTCGCATCTTCGCACTTTTAACGTGTTTAACGTCAAACATCTAGCCCCTTTCCTTGGCGACAGTTCGAACGAAAACAAGATTAAGCCAGATTCTAGGGCGAATCCTTCTCAACTGAAAAAAATGATGATGAAGACTAAATTGCCCTTACATTCTTGGATAAACGTGATCTTTTTGTTCCTTTAGCCCAGTTATTTATTTCCACCATCAATATTATTATTATCCTTATTTACATTATTATATGGTTGGTGAAGATTTCTTAATTTTCCCTTATCCTTGTCTTGGTAGCATAGTTTTAAATGGCGAATGGCGAGGCGAGGCGATTGGTCCACGGCCTCGCCACGAGGCGAGGCGATTCGCATGGCGAGGCCTCGGCTACACATCACCAAAATTTAGAAAAACAATATTATAGATTGTGCATTTATATAATTGTGTACAAATGATAAAAATAACAACAAATATCTCCCATAAAGGCAAGTAATTGAAACACAAACACCACTTAAGAAAGTAGTTGAAGGTTTTTGAAGGTGAAGATTTTTTTGCTTATGTCCCCAGTCCGGTAAAACCCTAGCTTCGTGGGTCTGGGAGATGAAGGAAAAAAGAGCCCGATGTGTGTTTTTTTTATTCTCTTTTCCAGATAGTGTTAACACGCATTTATTATTATTATTATTATAAAATAAGTTATTATTATTATTTTTTTAAAATAAGGGGTGGTTTGTGCCTTCAAGAGGAGCGCCACACAAGTGCCTCTCACCACGCGAAAAGGCAAGCCGAGGCGACCTGAAGCGAGCGCCTCGCGAACAGGGTTACCTCAGGCAGTGGCGAGGCGATGTGGCCCTCGCCTCGGTCGCCTCGCCTCGAGGCGTCGCCATTTTAAACTATGCTTGGTAGGCAAGTTAAGTCTTGGTAGGATTTTTATTTAAGAAGCCTTCTCATCATTTGGAGGGGGTCGATCGATTGAGAATAAACAAATATAAATTTGAGAGTTTTATCAAATGAACAGAACACAAAGTTCCATATGAACTAACTCTGAACAGATAGAAGGAAGCAAATGGTACTCTTGAATGATTGTACAGCGATACAGATAAGTCCAAAACCTAAAGAGTACCAAATGAACAAAGACAGCAATTCAATCTCACACGTGCTCAAATGCATCATGAGATGATAGATGAACAGTTACTGCTGGGAAAACATTGTTAACAATCTAGCATCTTTTTTAGTGGCATAAATTTTCATGTTCCCACAAATTCCAGATAATGTCAACACTAGAGGCCAACAAAGTTTTCGTTTAATCTTTATGGAAAGCACACTCAATGTCTGTATCTATATCAAAAACAGCTCATTGCTTCAAAATATCACATAAATTAAGGCCAACCTGTAACTCAACAAAAAGCGCATATCCTTAGGCATGGCGCGAAAAATTGGGAAACAAATGTACCTTAACCAACGATAAACAAACCGTGTGTTGCTCCTTAATTCTTTTTCCCTTTTGCTTCCTTTACAGAATTGTTGTTTTTGAAAGGAATGAAAGCCTTCCCGCCCATGAAGCTTCTTAGGGCCTCGGGTATCTCAACTCCATCCTCTTTCTGGTTGTTCTCCAGGATGCAGCACATCGTCCTCTCGGTTGCCGTCAGTGTAGAGTTCAGCATGTGCACGTATTCCTTAGCTTTGTCGTTACTCTGTAACCATACCCAAAAA